TCCACTAGACAATAAACAGATAATAAGGTGGCGTCGTGAAAAGTGCAAACATACACATAAAAAATGAAAACAAAGGACTATTACAAAAAAAAAAAAACACCTACAATACAAACAAGTTATTATTCCAGCATACTTAAACATAGTTATATGTATTAATATTGTTGGTATAGAAAAATATTTAAGAAAAATTATTTTTACATTTTATGAACAGCCAGGAAGCAAAAAGTAAAAAGAAAATATTTACCATCTTCTCACTGTCTTTGAAACCCTTTTCCTTAAACAATTAACAAATGTTGCATTTTCTTCTTTAACATGTTTTGTTGTCTTGGCGAAACTACTTGTAAAAGTAGGAAATTGTTGGAAAAGTGTTTTATTTTTCTTTTTTGTTGTATTAAGATTATGCTGTATTACTTATGGCTAATTTAAGTTTATTATTTTTTCATTAGTTTTCAAAAGTACTTTTTGACACCATGGTGACATTTAGAAACCTTTTTGAAAGTATGGTTTTAAAGTTTAAGGTTAAGTATGATTGAATATGAAGTGAGTTTAAATTATAAAGTATTCAATGAAGATCATTTGAAAATTGAGAAGAAAAGAAAAAATAATATTTGGTAAGGTGTTGTAGTTGCACAACAAATTACTTTTCAATGACTACTGCATACTGTTTGCATTACTTTTAAGTACTTTTATAATGACTTACATGTAATCATATACGTAAGAAGTTATTTTGAGTTATTTTTTGGTCATGTTATTTTTTGATCGTGCACTAGCAACTGTTTTTACACACTCAGTATGAATGTAAGTATTTCTGTGTGGAAACCAGTATATGATTGGAATGGCCGACAGGTCTCTGTCATTCCTTTTTATCTGAATTGTTATATATAGCTCGTTTCGTTTAACTACATCCATCTGTCCGTATATTTTCAGGATCCAAATATTAGATCAATCCAATCAGACATGAGATTTCATTTTATAAGTAAATAAAGTAGATATGATTATAATAAATAGATGAATGTCCTTCATTTCAAATGTTAAACTTCACCACCACCTTTAACCCTTAAACATATTTACTTTGACATTAACAACTTAATGACAAAGTCAAATAAGTATTTATTAAACAATAATATTGACAAATCCTTGTAACTCCACATTAAAGATGATAAAAAGGATTTAATAGTTTCCTCTTGTCATTTCTTATATTTAATTGATTTTCAAAATTTTTGCCTTTAGCCAAAAATCCCTAAATAATTTTCTTGCAAATTTTCCGCTGGCTTTAAGATGAAATAGAAAAGTTCCACCAAAAAACAATAAAACATTTTTTGGAGAGCTCTAGAAAACTAAATTAGAAAACTAGAGAAAAAAAAATAAGTATGAAAAAATTATGCCTAAAGTCAAACAAATAAATAGAACAAAAACAAGCCGCTACCATAAAAACTAACAAATAAAAAAGCAGAGAAAAATCTTTTCTAGAAATATGTAGAGTAAAAAAGTAGTTATGGCCCTTAGAAAAATATTAGAAAAAACAAACGGAATTATAAAAATAACAAAATTATTTTTATATATAAAAAAATACTAATAGACCCTCATCATACAACTGTTGCGCAAATGTCTATAAACTTTAACAACAATTAATACTTAAACTCATATGCCCTGCTTTTCATACAACAAATTTACCACAAGAAAATCCTAAGAAAACAAAGTTTTTTCTCTTCTTTTGCAGTTCATACAAATTATGTTGTTTTAATATAGGAAAATATATAGAAAAATAAATATTATTATTTTATTTATTGTGATAAGGACTCATACTTAATTAATTTGTTGTTTTGACAACAAATCAAAATATTTAAGTTTTTACAGATTTTTATTAAGAAGGACTTTATTTTTGCTTAGTTTTTCTTAATCATTAAGAAATTTGTTTAACATGATATTTATTATGTGTTTTATTAGCAATTAATTTTCTAAAATAAATTTTGGAACTTTTACAATTCTTGTTTTGTTTTATGCGGAAGTTGGACAACTTTGTTGTGAAATAACTTCTTTAACTTTATTCGTGGAGAATTGTATTTTTTTCCTTTTAGTGCAAGGCTTAGAACTGTCTCAAGTTGCTTTAATCAGGTTTGATATTGAATATCTTAAAAAGTTTATAGACGTCATTGAATCGACTTCAAATCGAATCGTATATAATTTTATGCACATTCTATAGCATAGATCTAAGGCGCTTTAAGTTTTCAATTCAATTTTTGAATATTTCATATATAAATACACAGAGGGAAAAATAAATATACACGTCTGGTACCAAATTAACACCAAATTTTTCAGTAACATCTGTTGTCAAGTATATAAATACATACAACAACAATTCGTTTTCGCAATCTAAATTTTATGCACATCCATTGTCTAAATGTTAAAAAACGTGGTAAGCTCATAATCCGTTGTCAATAGTGAGCTTACAACGTTTGTTAACTTTTAGACGACGGATGCGAGTAAAATTTAGATTGTGACAACGAATTGTTGCAATGTTGACAACGTTGCGCGGTCATCTTGGCAGCAAAACAATCAGCTTTAAATGATCATAACTTTAAGTCTGTTCCACGGATTGCAATGATATTGGTATCCAAAATATGACATAGTTTTAAAGTTATAATCAAACTAATTGCAAAATTATTCACTATCTTTTAAGCTGAAGTCTCCGTGTGTAAGACCTTATTAGACAACTTCTACGTAATATAGACCATATGTAGTAGTCATTGAAAAGTATGTTGTTAGGTAAATAACTACAATTGAAAGGCATTACCCAGTTTTTGCTGGGCATTGCTTTATTGGCAAAGAGGTTTTTTTTAATTATTATTTATATAGAGAGTTTTTCATGGAAATACAAACGCTTTAGTATGACTTAATTATCAACTACCGTTAGGTTTTAATGCGTTTTTATGAATTGAAGAAGGAGAAACCTATGAATGCATACACATCCCAGAAGTTCGACAAAGAGTCAATGCATCCGAAAAAGACAGTGATTTCCACTAACGTCTTACCATCTGATTGACTGTAATTCGTCTTTCGTCACGGATGCACTCTTTTTAAACGAGGGTGAAGAGGTGGACACTTAAAAAAACAAACTTAAGCTTTTTGTCTGTCTCGACGGGACAAGCACATGTTAAAATAGCTAGTCACCTGGGCAGTCGGTGGATAGGGGTAACCCTAAGTGGTAGGTTTAAAACGTAGTTCGGAACTGTGCGGCCGAACTGCTAGGATGGTGAAAATAAATTCTTAGATGCATATTTTAAACTGTAAAATAAAAATTAATAATAATTTTTACCAAAATGAAGTCATCTCGAAATCAATGTAGGCGACTTCATATATTTTTATTCTTCAGTATATCCCAATTAGTTACCAATTGTTTTTGGACATTACATGTCCGTGTTTAACATGGTATTAAACTATCCAGATTGCACGAATGAACGATTCTATCTATATCGATATGTGTTCATGCAGTATTGGACTGACTATAAACTCAGTCCTGATATTTTTCAAGGCAGGGCAGACACAGAGGAAGTGTTCAACAGTTTCCTCTTCTTCCTCATTTTTGGCTTCTAATACAAGTAGTCATATCCTGGAAAGCTCCATCAGCTCATCATAGAGATGTCGAGCTATAGGTCAGTATTGATAATCTAGTCTGACCACGCCCGTAAATTGGGATAAGGGATGAAAGTGGGACACCAATTAATATGTTAGTGCCCCCTAATGAAGGTTCGTTTTTGCTACTTAGTCCGCTTTTTTATTTCCAAGTACATTAGAAAGAGCCGGTGGTACCCAGAGCAGTTCTAGGCACGAATGGTTTGTCATCTCGTCAAGAGACATCCGACATTCGCGAACCAGTCTTTCGCACTGACTTATTAAATTTCAAATATGACTAATATTTTTGGTCTGAGATCAATTTTTGTTATAAACGTAAAAACTAAAACTCATTCGATTTCAATTTAGATGAGAAACATATTAACCTGTACTGGTTGATTTTTTTTCAAATACCTTGATTTGTTTAAATGTTATTTAAAAATATTGTTAAATGTCATTAAACATTCAAATCCAACTTTCTCTTCATGACTTTTTTAGATTATGTCAATCTTGTAGTAAATAAGCCGTATGTTTCATTTCACCAGCAAACAAATAATATTAATTTGTAATCTAGTGTAACTAAATATTAAGAGCCTTATTAATAAGCAATTATCAAAGCTTGTATAAACCTTTGCTAAATGTTTATGAATATGATCTTAAAATGTTTAAAATTATTTACTTTCTGGTAGCAAATCACAAAAACTGTCATATGATTTTTTAAACTAATTTTCTTCTTAGGTACGATTGTAACGTATGAGTGTTATTACTGTAAATAAATAAATATAACTCATACGTGGGTATGTCATATAATTTTACATTTCAAGATAAAACAAATAACACAGCTAAATTCGAATAAACCGAATGTTGTTTACCAAATTTGTTGTTTTAATTAAAATAATAATATTTTTTTATTTAAAAAAAGTCTTTTTTTATAAATTTATTTTTTTTAAATTTCTTGATTTTTTTTTTCAAAACTATTTTTACTTTTACAGAAATAGAGTCAAATCCCCAAAACTCGTATTTTTTACTAAATATTTTGGATATATCTTAAATACATTGTTCTTTTTCTCTAGAAATATATTCGAAATTCCGAAATTTTGATCACATTTCCATTATTTATTTTGTATTGGAAGTATGTCTAATAGAATTATTCAAGAATTGGATCCCTATCTTAATTTCAACCAAAATACTTACAGACGGACGTACATAAGTATGTAATTAGCTAAATACATATATAAATAATCTAATATTATGCAAAATAAGTACTCGGTTGTGAATTTCTAAGTTATTATTTAAAAAAAACTTTTACTATTTTTTTTTAATTTTTACCACATTTTTAATAACCGTCGGCATCATTTTCTTTTTATTAAAAACTTATTTAAACTTACTGCAAATTTCACTTGTCCTTCACTCGCCGTTATATTTAAATTCCAAAAAAAGTAGGAATTTAAACAAATTTCTTTTATAATAGCACTTAACAAAATCCAGTAATTTTCAAAAAATGTTTTATTAATATTTGTTAATAAATATTAATTTACACACAGTTTATTTGTTATTACCAAAATGTATTTTGGCTTTTTTTTAAATATTTGTTTTTATCCTCTGGTTAAGATGTTTATTTGTTGAACGAAGATGTTACTAACGCTTTTGCGTTTAGTTGTGCACAGGTCAAATGTCGCTTAACTTTTGCAAAATAACTGTTGACATCCGTTGCTCTTATATGGACGACGCACTAAGTAACGTTCTTGATTCTTTTTACAGCATTTTGCTGTGGCTGTTTTTTTTTTTTTTTTTTTTTTTTGTATCGTTGTCTGTTGGTGGTGATATTGGTGGCAATGGAACGCAGCAGCAGCTGCTGGTGCCGCTACTGCAGCTGGTGTTAGATAAAAACAAACAAAAAATAAAGAAAAATGTTGTAACACTGTCATCATCATTGTCACGGCACCCACAACAAAACAACAGCAGCGAAAGAACAACATCATCATTATTATCATCTAGTTTAACATCGTCCTTACGGTTAGTTTATACGCATAACAGTTGTTTTTTCTTTGGTGAGCAACAAGTAGGAACGGTTTTAAATGTGTGTTCATTTTTAGTGGTAGTGTGTTAACGGTATTTTAGTTAGATGATTACGTTGTTAAACGGGTGAGTGTGTATGACCCGAAAGCCACCCTCTCTCTTTCTATAATATTACGATGTGTTTACTAATCGCAGAATTTACGAGCACTGTTATTTTTTAAACACACTTACATGTATACATACATTTACATGACTTAGAGGAAAACCATTCTGTTTGTGTTGAATTTTATTTATGAGTGGGAACACTTTCTAGTGAAGTGTGGTGAATTTGAAATTGTAGTGTGAAGACTAGTTTGGCGGGAATTTAAAAGAAAATGTATTGAAATTAATACGAATTGTGTTAGATTAGAAAAAAAGGATATGAAAACGTAGACAATTGTATGATAGATATGGGAAGTAATTATGAGTATATTTGTAAAATTCATTTTATTTTTTTTTAGTTAAACTTTAGACAATTAAGAAAGAAAATTGTACCTTATTTATTAAAATCTTAATTTTTTGTTTTGTTTTAATTGAAATATTATATTTCTAACGTGCATATTTTCAATATATTTCAAATATATTTTGTAAACGTTCGTAGTATTTGAGTGAAAAATACTTATTATATTGCAAACGCCCACTCAGACACATTCCACGCATTCTTAAATGGCAATCGCAATCACTTTTAAAGTAAAAGTTATTAAAAATCACGTCACAGAGAGCATGATTGTGTGGGCAATAAGAACAATCTGATGCTAAATAAAACACAAAACCAGGAAAAAAACTTTCAGCGGTTTCAATATCGTTTCGACCAAAAACAAAATAAATAAAACTATAGAACAATATTTTGTGGGTAAAAAGAAACTAATGATTTTTCTCATTAATATTTAACAGGTTAGGATGATGTCATTACATTGGAAGTAATAGTAATATAAATATTTCTAATAACTTGTAATAGCCGCTGTATGAACTAACTAACTAACTAACTACTAACTACTAACTAACTAACTAACTAACTAACTAACTAACTAACTAACTAACTAACTAACTAACTAACTAACTAACTAACTAACTAACTAACTAACTAACTAACTAACTAACTAACTAACTAACTAACTAACTAACTAACTAACTAACTAACTAACTAACTAACTAACTAACTAACTAACTAACTAACTAACTAACTAACTAACTAACTAACTAACTAACTAACTAACTAACTAACTAACTAACTAACTAACTAACTAACTAACTAACTAACTAACTAACTAACTAACTAACTAACTAACTAACTAACTAACTAACTAACTAACTAACTAACTACTAACTAACTAACTAACTAACTAACTAACTAACTAACTAACTAACTAACTAACTAACTAACTAACTAACTAACTAACTAACTAACTAACTACTAACTAACTAACTAACTAACTAACTAACTAACTAACTAACTAACTAACTAACTACTAACTAACTAACTAACTAACTAACTAACTAACTAACTAACTAACTAACTAACTAACTAACTAACTAACTAACTAACTAACTAACTAACTAACTACTAACTACTAACTACTAACTAACTAACTAACTAACTAACTAACTAACTAACTAACTAACTAACTAACTAACTAACTAACTAACTAACTAACTAACTAACTAACTAACTAACTAACTAACTAACTAACTAACTACTAACTAACTAACTAACTAACTAACTAACTAACTAACTAACTAACTAACTAACTAACTAACTAACTAACTAACTAACTAACTAACTAACTAACTAACTAACTAACTAACTAACTAACTAACTAACTAACTAACTAACTAACTAACTAACTAACTAACTAACTAACTAACTAACTAACTAACTAACTAACTAACTAACTAACTAACTAACTAACTAACTAACTAACTAACTAACTAACTAACTAACTAACTACTAACTAACTAACTAACTAACTAACTAACTAACTAACTAACTAACTAACTAACTAACTAACTAACTAACTAACTAACTAACTACTAACTAACTAACTAACTAACTAACTAACTAACTAACTAACTAACTAACTAACTAACTAACTAACTAACTAACTTACTAACTAACTAACTAACTAACTAACTAACTAACTAACTAACTAACTAACTAACTACTAACTAACTAACTAACTAACTAACTAACTAACTAACTAACTAACTAACTAACTAACTAACTAACTAACTAACTAACTAACTAACTAACTAACTAACTAACTAACTAACTAACTAACTAACTGAGTTTCAGTCGCTAGTAGGGAACTGAGTCCCTTAAAAAAATTTATTTGGTTGTTTTTAGAATGTCGTTTGAGAATTATTCTATAAAAAAGTGGTAGAGACGGCACACCCTAATACGTATGTATATGTTCTTATAAGGATCTAGAAAAATGTATATACTAAGGACAGAAGGACTAGGTCTATAGTTTACTGTCATGTTGAAGTAGTCGATTTGTATGCCTTTATAGGAGACAATCAAGTCGACATTTTGTTGAACTGTGAAAATGCAAGTTAATTTCAACTGCATAACAGACTGTCAACTGGTTATTATTAAAAAAGTTTCAAGTCTTTTTCAGTGAAAAGAATCAAACAATTGTCAATAAATATTTAGTATTAAGTATTGCTATTCAAACATACATCTAGATATATTTCGATAATATACATATGTAAACATTTAACAATTTGTAGGGGTTGAGAAGCAAAATATCTGCATAATAATGATAATGAGAATAATGATGTTTTATTTTAGTCACGCAATTTGTTATAATATGCAACAAAACACATATTGATTCACTACAGCTCAAAGTTCTTTCTAATTTACATGTAGAATGCGAATAGCAATACTAGTTATTATATGTCACTTGTTGCATATTTGCTTGGGTATGTGGAAAAAAACTAATGATTTATTTGCTTAAGATGCAATAGAATTTAAGGAGACCACAAAACTATGTTTAAGCAAAATTTTTTTACAAAGAACATTATTATATTTCAGATCTTAAATCTTACCTACATCTGACCACCCTTATCTTACGTTCACTTGACACTTATATGCAACAAATAGTTACAAAAAGAAATATTTCTCAAAGTCAAATTTTATCATCTATTGCATGTAATTTTTTCTACAGAGTGTTAACTTGCTAGTTATTTTTTTATAATTTATCAAGACTGTCACCCCCAGCATGAACGAAGGCATGAATATGAGTTTGAAACCCTATTTGCTATTATACTTTCTAATACCTAAACGTACCAACAACCTTTGCTTTAAGTATTTAAAATATATACAATAATCATCATCATATTCAAGTACTTATGTCCTATTTGCAAAATGTCCTTTATCAATACTACAGTTTATAGACTTCTATTGTGGGAGTATGCAACAAACAAATTACAATTATTATTTTTATTTTATTTTCTGCATCTTTTAGACTTTTACAAAATGCCAACTGTCACCATTAGTCAGTTGTAGTTCTTTTGACGCCATATTAAAATTGTAAAGGAGCTGCAGCGTGTTTGACTAAGGAAATTTTATCCTGTTTGCATACACATTTTTATTTCACAAGATAAGGCAAAGTTAGTAATGTTTATTTTTTATAACGTTAGCTATCATAATAATGATATCTGATTGCATTTGTTCAATTCTTGTGATCTGTTGAAATCATTGTCATTGTGATCAATTTATGCATACAATGAAAGCAAGGTCATATTGTTAGTTTATCTAAGCTTCTCTAGAATGTTAACATATTTTTAAAGAAATTTTATTTTAGTAGTTATTTATTATATTTGACCAAAGTCATTTCATGTTTTTTTCAAAAGGTATAAAAATTGAGATTTCAGCTTTTGCTGTTGTATCCTTCAAATTCTGCATACTAAAGAACGTAAGAATTTTCTTTTTTTTGTCTAAAATTATAACAAAAACTTCTTATATGCATGTGCAGATATGTTGGAATTTCTTTTAAGAAAATAATAGAGGGACATTTTTTTATAGTTTTTGGAAATCAGGGCTAAAGCTATAATGTAAAATTTATTTATAGGGAAAATAAATGCAAATAGTTTTCCTAAAAATACAAACTAATAAAAGTCTAATAGGTTAGGTTAGGTTAGGTTGATAGGAGGATGTATACTACATCAAATCCGAAGAAATACACCTAGGCCACTATCGGGCCTGTTGTGCGCTCCAATTCAAGAAAAAAAAAAAAAAAAAAAAAAAAAAAAAAAAAAAATTGTTTACTGAATGTTCAGAAACTCAGTTTCCTGGACGTAATTCCTAAGAATCTTCCAATCGGTGTTGGTTAAGAATGTTATTTCCGGAATAACATCACTTCCAAGATACTTGGATCTAACTTCGACGAATGCCTGACAATGGCAAAGAAAGTGCTCCAGAGTCTAATAACTAAAATATAAATTTATGAAGAATGTTTTAGGATAGATAGATAGATAGATAGATAGATAGATAGATAGATAGATAGATAGATAGATAGATAGATAGATAGATAGATAGATAGATAGATAGATAGATAGATAGATCCCCTACTACAATACGTTGCAATGTGTAAAAATCATTAACCTATTAAATAAATCGGATTATATCCGATCAGATCC